GTGGTTTAGACCACAGCACCACCCGCCTCCCTGAGACTGAGTCTACCACCATCTAATTCTAACTCTCTCCACTACACCAACAGAAGCAAATGTGATGCTCTTTGGGTGTTGCTGGATTACAATTTCCATCAGTCCCAGTGAGCATGGCCAATGGTCAGGAATGATGGGAGTTGTAGTTCAGCAACCTCTGAATGGCACAACATCGGCTACCTCTGTACTGCACCGTAGTGTATTTCTTTCCATTGCACTAAATTTTCCTATTCCACAATCTTGTAGCAGGTTGTTGAGGGCTTGTTGTCATGATCTATTAGATTTGTAGGGTACGGTTGTGCTATTTCCTTAGTTGAATTTTGCTTTCTGCATGAACAACAAGCGTCTTGCGCCACCCTAGATTTAGTATGCCCTAGGTTTGTGCCATAATACATTTAAGATGCCACAAGAATTTTTGTGTGTGTTGGCTGCTCCTCTGGGAACTGTTATTTTCTGTATTTGGACCGCTTTCCCCCACACATCCCCTGACACCCAGGGGTGGTGGAGAGGCAAAAGGAGACAGAGGGGAGATATGTTTACTATCATTTGTCTTAAAATCAACTAGCAGCCAATATACCTTTACTGTCTCATAGTTTCGCTGTTTAATCTACAGGTGTAGCATTTGCACACTAGATACCTTGTGATTGTTCAGGTAAGAGATGTGACAATGCTCCCAGAAGATACAGGGAGCAGCACCTTAATGCTCCTGGAGCCAGAGAGCCCAAGGGGGAGGGTGGGGACTGCGAGATTGCGACATAGGAACTTACCTGCCTTCCTATCTGGCCTTAGGTATTTATACGGCACCTATTACAATGGGTATCTCAAAACCTTATCTAGCTTTGAACCAGTGTTGTCCTCTGGCCCATCTGCAATCAGCTGGAATGAACAAGTGTTATCTCTGAAAAAATGGTGGCAGCACCATCCTCTTTCGCCAGCACTGCTGCTTATCCCTGATGCCTGGTGTCATGCTTAAAGGCGTAACCTGCGGAGAGAAAACAAAATCCAATGACAAACCTTCAACCTACAAGCGCTAATGGGAAGCAAAATGAAAAGGTCCACTTAGTGTGTGTCTGTTTGATGTCAATATCCTTCTCCTACTATTCACAGCTCAGTCACTTCAGTAGAGCATGAGACTTTTAATCTCAGGGTGATGGCTTCAAGCCCCATGTTGGGCAAAACATTCCTGCATTGCAGGGGGTTGGACTAGATGACCCCCATGGTCCCTTCCAACTCTATGAGTCTATGATTTTACTCTACTGTAGCTTGCAGCTATTAGATCTAGTCCTGCCTGTCAAGACAGCAGAGAATAAGATTGTGTCTGCACTAACCCTTTAAAGCACACTCAAAACACAATTCCCCCCTCAAAGAATTATGGACATTGTACAGTGGTACCTCGGGTTACATATGCTTCAGGTTACATACGCCTCAGGTTACAGACTCCGCTAACCCAGAAATAGTGCTTCAGGTTAAGAATTTTGCTTCAGGATAAGGACAGAAATCGTGCTCCGGCAGTGTGGCGGCAGCAGGAGGCCCCATTATCTAAAGTGGTACTTCAGGTTAAGAACAGTTTCAAGTTAAGTACGGACCTCCAGAACGAATTAAGTACTTAACCCGAGGTACCACTGTAGTTTGTTAAGGGTTGCTGGGAATTCTAACTCTGTGAGGGGCAGAGTGCCCAGAATTCTTTGAGGTGGGGGAAATGTACTTTAAAGGTATAGCGTGTATGCAGCTCTGTCTTGCCCGCCTCTGTGTGGCAAACCCTTCACCCGTCACCTGCAGCAACCCTTCCGTCAGCTACCTCAGTGGGAGAGATGAGAAGCAAGGCTGCTTCAGTCAACTGAGCCCTAGCAAAAAAAAAGGGACCTTGGCTACTTCCCTAGGGCTGTTAAGGCAGTCTCAAGCTTCATTAGCCCACTCTTGTCCAGCCCTATCTTACAACAATACAGTGGTACCTCTGGTTGAGAACGGGATCCGTTCCAGAGCCCTGTTCGCAACATGAAAAGAGCGCAACCCACAGTGGTGCATCTGCGCACGTTCGGGTTGCGATTTGCCGCTTCTGCACATACGCGTGACGTCATTTTGCGCTTCTGCGCATGCTTGAGCAGCGAAACCTGGAAGTAACCCTTTCCGCCAGAACGTAACATGAACTAAATGTAACATAAGGTATGAACTCTCAGTAATGCATTACAGCAGAGGTTTTCATCCTTTTTGAGTCCATGGCTTCCTTGACCAACTACACTCTTTCTGTGGCACCCCTGTGAGGCTCAGGAGCCCAGTTATGTTACCCGTTGCTTACAGAGCCAGCAGCCCCTCAATACTTTTCAAACACCCTCCCATGTGGAGTGTTCCCTCAGCCTCCTATTTTCTCCCCTCTCCTTGAGAGTCCTCTGGGCTGCCACCCCTGGTTTCTAAGCTGCTCTGCCCCCACTGCCCCAAAAAGAGGTGCCTCCTCACACTGCCTGACAGGGGCCTGGGAAGCACCCCCTGGCCAGCCCCAGAGGCACCCTTTGCCTGGGGAGCTGGTAGCCAGGGCTGCTGCAACAAACAGCTGTGCAAACCTTTGGGAGGCAGAGAAAAGAGAGGGCATCAGAGGGAAGGAAAGAGGGACAGAGGCCAGTGTTGCCCGCAGCACCCTTGACCATCATTCAAGGCACCCCAGGGTGCCATGGCACACTGGTTGAAAACCACTGCATTACGGAATACACAACAGCAAATAAGGAGCCATTGAGCATCGCCATCTTGATGCAGGTCACAAATAAACAATTCCAGAAGTTGCTTGAAGTTTTGTGCTTTGTGATAGCTCAATCCCTTAGTCTGATGCTGTTTGAAGACAAAATATTCATATTTTAGTAGGGTGAATAGGCTTTGTATTTTTACAATATTGCAGGATGAGCCCTTTTAGTCAATATTGTTGTTTTATCTTTTTAATAACTTTTTAAATTTTGTTTTTTAAATGTTATTACAATAGCGAACCTCCCTGAGGTAGGGCAGTATATAAATTCAATAAATAAATAATTTTGAGACATTTTATGTAGTAAGCAATGAATAATTAATAACCACAACAATAATTAATTGTTATTATTAACTCAACTATCAACATAGCTGAAAAGACTTCCAATTTTCCATCTGTTATTTACATAAAAGAAATTATTATAAACATTCACTCTAGGGTTACATACAACTGTTCTACTTTCTGTTAAGCAATATTTTCCCAATCTTCAGAGCCAAATGTCCGAATTACTTTTGATTTATAGGCAACACTTTCACCCAGAAAACAAAAATAAAGAATATACAAATTCTTAGCATACAGAGCTACCTTGCTCATTTAAACGCCTCAAACAATTGGAGCAGGCTTATTCCCTTATTCTTGAAGCCAGAAAGTAGCTCACACATCAAATGTAAATTTCTACCAGCAGACAGAGAAATCTCTGTCCATTATAAATTATAACCATCTCAGAAATAATTAAGAAAAGAGGCTTTTGCAGATCCAGTGCCTCTTGTGTGGCTTTTGGGTAAGATGTTGATTCCTCCACTGACCGTTTCTCGGGCTCCCAATGCAGAAAACAGCCTTTTTAAGACCATCAAAGTCAATCCCCTGTTCACTCTTTTTTCCAGAGTGAATTTTGTAGCCAAGATTTATGTCTGAGTATCATCAATTGCCACATAACTATCTTCATTAGTAGCCTGCTGACAAAATACTTGAATCCACCACGTTCCTCCCCGGAAGGACCCTGCATCAGGATATTTGTCAGGTGAAGGCACCTTCATTTCAATGGAGCTTATGCTAGGAAAAACCCAAGGGGATTGAGGCTCATGTTAATTAGCAAGGAAGTGGAAAAAGGAACTGTCTGGATTTTCCTTCTCATGGGGCAAAAGGTCTTGGCCAGGCCATGTGTGTTAGGTTGCTCACATCACATCTTGAAAAGGCAACTGTCTTTTCTCACCAGACCTTCAGACATGGTTTCCTGTGTCACTGCAAGTGTGCTGGGGAAACCAGCAATTTAACTTCATTTCTATGCAACTCTTGATATCTGTACATGGCAACTCTACTCAGCTACTCTACTCGGGGGCCCTTTATATGTCCAGCTGTCCTATGTCAACAACAAATTGCTGCTGTTTTTTGTGTTCAATATATGCTATATGGTAATTTACGGACCTAATAGGTATCTAAAGCCATTTGCACATAACAAAATATGTATTTTATCAAAGTAACTGTTGAACTGAAATACAGTTAAGAAGTACTGTATAGTAATAGTGAAATAATATAAGTGATATTTTCGGGAGCAGGCCAGCAGGCAGGGCCCATTACTTACACCATAGGAGCCTACACAACACAAAACACTGTTGCTGTATGTGGGTTTAATTTTATTTGTTTTTTATCTTACATTTTGGAAATGTACATCCAGTTGTTTCTTCCTTTTTTTCAATTTTTTAAAATAAATTTTCCAATTTTATAACAAACACAAAAAAACAAAAAAACAACCAACCAACCAACCAAACATTTATCATAACTATAATAATTCCATTTTTTTAAACATTGTTAAATGACTTCCTCAAATCCCCCTGGTTGAATTTCCATATAGTTCATTGTAGCAGTTCTCCAAAACTATTTTCACATAAAATTTAGTCAATTTACATCTTTCTTTCTTTCTTTCTTTTCATTTTAACGTTAACGTAGTATTTCACAACATCACATATTTAAATCCTAGGCCTACTCGCAAGTAATTCTATTTATGTTATCTTAACATATTTGGCTAAACAATCTTCAAATTTCTCCCAGTCCTCTTGGTGCTCCTCCTCTCTCTGGTCACGGACTCTTCCCGTCAGGTCGGCCAGCTCCCAAAAATCCATCATCTTCAGTTGTTGTTTTTCCTTTAAAATTTATACCTAAATCCAGCACTGGGTGCGTCCCCGCCGCCTGCTCTTCGAGAGGCATCATTCCTGATGGATGACGGCGCCCTCCCGATCTGCCCGGGGGTGCAAGTTGAAGCAGCCCCAAGCCCTTGCAACTGCCCTCAAGACTGGCCGGCCGGCCGGCAACTCCTCGGCCCAGTGCCCGCCCCTTCCCCGCTTCCTCCTCCTCCGCCGCCTGCTATATCTTACCTCGGCCCTCAAGCGGGTTCCCGCCGCCCTTTTCCCGCCCCAAAAGCGCGCAGGTGCCGTCCGGAGCCTCGCCGGGAAACTCGACGCGCGCTGTCTAAAGCCGAGAGAGCGAGGCGAAGGAGAAGCCGGCTCCGGACGCCGCCTCCTCTTCTCCGGCTCGACGCCTGCGAGGTGCTCCCTGAGGGAGGGGAGTCCTTTCTGTGGAGGTCGAGGGCCTCCCCAAACCCCGCGCGCCCACGGCTCCTTTGTGCCTCAAGAGAGGCGCGCACCGCCGCGGCGCCCGAGGGCAAAGTGAGTGGGCAAAAGAAGGCAAGACTCCCCGGCGCCGGATTCCTCTGAGGCGGCAGCGGCTGCTTGTTTTTTTTTTTTTATTTGTGGCGCTGCCAAAGGAGAAAGAAGGAAGGAAGGAGCCATGGGGGTTCCCGTGCCTGGAGAGAACGGCCTCTTGGGCGCTTTCTGGAAGAGGCTGCGGCGCACCTGCAGACCCGGCGGCGGCGGCGGCGGCGGCGGCGGCCCGGGAGGCAGCGGCGGGCGGCGGAGCGCCGACGAGATCCACCTGCTGCAACAGAAGAAGTAAGTGAGCGCGGGCGGCGGGCGACCTGCAGTCGACATCCCTGCCTAGCAAGGGAGGGAAGGGGCGGCCAGGGCTGCTGCATCGCCTCGGAAGAAGCGCGGAGGTCGCGGGGAACCACTTTCCCGGGCGCAGCTAAGTTGGCGCCCTGCAGCTAGAAAGCTAGCGCAGCAGGGCATGGGGAAGGCTGGGACATGTTTAAGGCATTCGAGTGGTGTTTGTCAGCTGTACCTCCCTCGGGATTCTGCCGTCGCGTTTTGCTTCGTATATGGAAATAGACTGCGCTTCTACAGTGGCGTAGCGTGGGGGGTGCAGGGGGGGGGCCCGGCCGCACCGGGCGCAACATCTGGGGGGGGGGGCGCGCTCGCACTCGCAGCTCTCTGCCCCTACCTAGATCCATGGGTTAGGGGGCGCAAATTACTTGCCTTGCCCCGGGTGCTGACAACCCACGCTACGCCACTGCGCTTCTAAGGGGGCATGTGAATTGTAATGGCATGTTTCTCTTCCTCCCCAAATGCTTTCACCACAGAGGTGTCTGTCCTTCCCTTGGTACTTGGGGGGGGGGTGCATCCCTCGGCGCACATGGGTGGTATCTATCTCCCCCAGTGCAAATCGGTGTGGGGTGTCTGGTCCAGAGAGGAACCCAGCAGGTTTAAAACCCATTTTCCCCCATGACAGCGTCCCAGTCTGGGCTGCACCTTGCATGTGCCTTTTACGTTCTGTGTGAATGCCGTTGAGACTAGGGTTTGTATCAGTCTGGTTTTGCTCTTTTCCCCTCTTCAGGAAAAAGTGTGTGTGTGCATTGAAGGAATGTATTTCTAGATACGGATATCCCTCTTGGATAAAGAATTAATGATTAAATGGCAAAAAAGAAAAGAAAGAGACAATCCCGTTCATTTTAATACCATTTTAAAAAATTTATTTCATAAAATTTATACACCGCTTAGAATCACGGAATTGTGGAGTTGGAATGCACCAGGAGGGTCATCTAGTCCAACCCACTGCAATGCAGGAATCTTTTTGCCCAACGGGGGGTTTGAATTCACGATTAAGAGAGATTAAGATTCTCACGCTCTACTGACCGAGCTGTTTTGCTAGCTTGATGGTAAAAAAAACCACATCAAAGTAGTTTGCAAAAAGAATGAAGCGATAAAAATTGGTAAAACCAGTTAAGAACAACTACTTAAAACATTTTAAAATTAAAATCGGCATTAAACTAAAAACAAAACACATCAACCTTCTAGATATCTGGGTAGGCTGGTCTAAACAGAACTGTTTTTAGCACCCAAAACATTGTGGATACATTCATACTTCATACTAACCATATTAATGTTATCAATTATCAGCACAAAATATAATGATAATGCACATTTCCCAAAGTGTGATAGACTCACAGAATTGCAGAGTTGGAAAGGGATCATGAGAGTCATCCAACAAACTCCTTGCAGTGCAGGAAACTTTTGCCCAACACGGGGCTCAAAACCATGACACAGAGATTTAGTGTCTCGTGTTGTACTGACTGAGCTATCCCAAGGGGTAATAAATTGACCTAATTTTTGCCATGTACCATACGTAGTATTTGGACCCACTTAATAAACTTCATTTAATAGAACCTGTTGTATTGCATTGAATACATAGTGTATTGAGTTGGGCAGAGACACAGGTGTTCTTGGCAAATAGTTATTGTTGGGGGGGGGGGAATCTGAAGATCCCCGTCCCCTTACAGTCCTCCCTTGTCTGACCTCAGGAGAAAAGCAGTGCTTCACAGATTATACTGCACAGCATTCCTTAGATGGAAGTCGGCTCACTCATGTACTTGTAACACAATCAGTTCTCACACCAAATATAACTGCCTGAGGGGTTTTGTTTTTTGTGTCTCCTGTGCATTGCCTGAGGTTCTTAATCTCCTGTGAATTGCATTCATTCGCTGGCTGGCACTGGCTTCTGGAAGAGGGTGAATTACTGCACCGATCATAACAGTTTCTCTTTGAAAACAACAACTTAATGACCTAAGAAAGTTTGCTCTTACAAGAGATCTGGTTGTGCTTGTTACAGAAGAGCTGTTTCCAACTCAAAACACATTTTACTCTCCGGATAACAAGTTATGGGTTGATGGAAAGGATGCAGCACTTTCACGTTGCCTCTATGTATATGTGAAAGCTGCATTTTCCTGTACTAGCATCAATATGTGTTTGCGCCTACTTTGGAGGTTTAACTTCTAAAGAGCTGGCAAGAGAGGACAGAAGCATGGCAATTCTTTCAATATAGAGTGATAAAGTTTTGGAAATGCATTCCCTCAAACCACTCCAAAAGGCAAAATAGAGACCAACAATTTACTGGGAACAGCTATCAGTAAATCAGAGAATGTCCTAATCAATAGGGGCAACCAGAACATGTCTATTTTTTCTGTCTATTTTTTTTTAAGAGGGTGAGCGTTTAACAGAACCTGCTTCTCTTTCATCCCCCTTCAAATTAGTTATGTCTCATTCATAATTTCTTTACCCAACCAAGGATGACCCGAGACTATGTTTGCAACTGAGACAGAATATCCAAATGCAAACCACCTCAATCCAGCAATAGGCACCTGGTCAAAACAGATGTGTGTTGTTCCGAGTAGGTATGCAGTTATTCAAGATGTTTCCTCTCAAGCATCTTCGTTGATCCGTTTGGTACTCATAAACCATTCTGTTTTATCAAAACAGGACCACACATCCTCAAGGTGTCTTGAAAACTTGTTTGTAAAGAAGACTTGATTATTAATTCAATAGCTGGCCGTCTCATGGTGCTGAAAATTGATTGCCTGAGGTTGCTTTTTCGCACCTCCCTAAAAGGTTTTCATCATCATGTTTCAATAGGTCAAGAGACATCAGCTTAATGGGGAAGGATGGGATGCAGATGTTGCTGGTTTTGTTCAGGGCTGTGCAAAAAATGAACTGATGCTTTGCAGTGATGCCAGAGATTTCCTGTAAGAAAATGGTGAACAGCCTTGGCCTTCCTGTGAGAGTGTTTTTGCTTCCAATGCTAAGAGTGCATTTCTTAAGGGCATTTTCAAAGTCAGCCTTGTCATGAGGCAAGCTGAGGTGGCTGTGTCAGGTTTTGAGTGTTATTAAGAGCAGTTGAGTTGGAGATAAATAGGTTTGGCTCATTACAATTATTCTCAGAGAGAATAATTGGGTGCACTCTTCCCACCTTAGATCAATTCTATGCTGCCAGGTGCCATAGAAAGCGGCAGAGATAGTGCAGGATAGTACGCACCCCGGAAATGATCTCTTCCAGCTTCTGCCTTCTGGAAGAAGGTATAGGGTTATAAAGGCCAGGACTAGCCGCCTGAGAAACAGTTTCTACGCAAATGCAATTCTGGTTCTAAACGCAGCATAAGGGGTCTCTATAGTATAGTGTATTTTAAAATGGGGTTTCAGAGTTTTTAGGATTTTTGAATGTTTTATGTAGTTTTTTAGTAATTTTATGTAGTTTTTATGTAGTTTTATGTAGTTTTTTCAATTTCATTGTTCTACATGGGACAATGACAATAAAGATATCTATCATCTATCTATCTATCTATCATCTATCTATCTATCATCTATCTATCATCTACTAGGCCATTCTCTTGCACAGCCTGTGCTCATTTCCATGAGGCTTGTGCAAGAGAACTGCCCACTGTATCGCACTCTCTTGAGTTACTGAGGGCTCGGAGTGCCATTTTGAGTAAACTCCTCTTTAGGGATAAAAATGGCTTGGTCTGGTCCTGTTCACAAGTGACACTAAAAACACCTTGACGACTTACTTTATGCCTTGATGAGTGAATGTTCTTAACACAAAGATTGCAGCTAAGTTATTTTAGAACCTGAACTTAATGCCCCCCCCCAATGGCTGCCTATATTGCCTATATTGACTCAAAAGCCAAGAGTGGTATAACAATGGAGATATTGCAAGAAAGTGAAATGTACTCCATAGAAATATTACTTCATCTGAATCACTCTAGAGAGAAATCTGAAGACCATTCCCGATCAACATGAGTGCCAGGGGAGGAGAGATTGTTATCAGCATCTTGGGTATCTGTTTCCCCAGATGTGCCTGGAATTGTGTTCTGCCAGAGGCAGGATACAGGACTGAAGTAGTTTGAACCAGCAAGGAGGTTATTGTGTTCTCTGTCTTTTGCGCTTGAGCTGTAGTATTGAAACCTATGGTGTAAGTACATACACACAGTCTTTATTTTGGTCCAAAAAACCACAAAAACATTTTCAAAAGCAAAATAAAACAGAAATACAGGGAAAGGATTCCAAGGCAGTCACTATGTTTTATCCAGAGCATGTAGGTTTCTGTTTCTTATTACTTCCAAGAGGAACTTAGCCATGGCCAGGGTAGTATAATTTAACATATCTCCAAGGAGGTATACTTAAGGTAGAAGGTTTCAGATTTTCCAGTTAAGTTTACCAATAGGGGTTTAATTAATTGATCCCTGGCTTGTTTGAACTGCTCACAGTGTAGTAGGATATGCTTCATAGAGTCAAGACTTTGAGAGCATAAGCAGAGCCTGTTCTGATAAGGGATACCAGACAGTCTGCTGTTTAGTATTTCTGATGGAAATACATTTAGTCTGGCTTTGGAGAACAATCAGCGGTAGTTAGGTACAGACAGATTCATGAAATACGATTGTAACTGAAAGTCATGGCTATAGCAGATTCCAGATGCAAATGGTCCACAGGTTACATATGATCTAGAGTGAATATTGCTGTATGAAATATCCCATATCCTCTTCCTCAGGGATTTAGGGGAAATATTGTAGTCCAGATGATGTAAAAAGGATGGTGAAAGACCAACTAAGGAGGCTTTTGGGGCGATAGTTTTTGACCACGAGCTGATAGACTCCTCATTGGTTAGATGAAAAAGTGATCCCTTCCCCAGGCCAGATACTGAGATCTTTAGCCAGTGTTTCAAGGCAGCCCACCACGCTTTGGTGGAAAGTGGGCATTCACCTGTTTCCAACAATAGAATTGAATTA